CTACCCTGCCTGTCACTCGCTCTCCTGGCCCAAACTACCCAGCCTGTTACTCCCTTTTACTGGAAATAAATTTTACGTAAAACGAAGAAGTAAATTGCATTAAAGGGCCCATGGAGTGAATTCATCTGGGATACTCTTTTGTATGTCTTTATATTCCCCTTCATTGTTTAAAAACTATTTTACCTCCTCTTTGGGTTTGACCACTTGCTGCCGGGGAACCCGTTTCCAACACCATGGGTTTATACACAGAGCCATGGTGCCCGAAATTGTACATTTTTCTGTTCAAATTGTGAATCCTAAATTTATTTGATGAAAACATTCCTGAGAAAGGCCAGCTCATTGGCTTATTGCCATGTACCGGTACTTTAACAGAAAGAAATGTAGGATTGAAATGCTATTTTAAGCAGGGAAAACTGTTTATTTCAATCAGGAGAAATGCTGTTCCCTTCAGAAATATCCTGGGAATAGGCCCATATTAGAATGTAGGCCCAAATGGAAATTTTGTTCCCAACTTCTAGTGTTTCCGATAGGAACAGCTTATTCCATGTTGCTAATTCCTAACAAGACTGCTTTGTGTTGCAAATTGAGCATTCAGAATGGAGACGATTATTCAGAATTGTTTATTTTTCAATTAGATGCCTTGAAGTCATTATCAAGGAGAAGTTGGTGAAACTAAAGACCACACTGCGAGACATCGACACATTGGAGCGTGCTTCTACGTCAGCCTCACTGAAACTCTCTGACCTACGCAAGAGGGTAAGTCTAGGCCTTTTTTCCTTTCAAATAGTACATTATCAAAAAAGAGTGTACAGCTTTGTGCCATAGTGTAGAATTTATGCAGTGCAAATGCTGTGCAACTGTAATCAATCTCACAAAACTTGGTACAGTGTTGCCATGCCAACAATTACAGCTTTTACTGCGACCATTAATGCATTCCAATTCAGACTGATCACAAAAAAAATTGTTGTCAAATTTACTTTAAGAGAGGTTTTGTCTCTGGGAATTGTGGGCCTCTTGCAGAGTCATTTGTGGCAAAACAAAACAAAACCACTCCACGAATCTCGGTTTTAACAGTGACCAGTGTTGTAGATGATAGCAATTCAGAGGGACAAGTGCCCAAGCAGTATTTCAAGTAGTTCAAATTTTGCAAATTGTTTCATGTCAAAGTTTGTTTTGACATTTGGTATACGGATAAATATGGATACCTTTATTTCATACCATGGACTTCAATCTCGGGTAGATGGCTAGAATCTATCCATTCGTGCCCCATTGCTGTATCATCCCCACAATTTCGTAAGCATAGAAGATACCGATGATTATCTCCTCAACTCTAAATGATCGCTTGATTTCAGTTCAGTTGTATTTTTCAAAAGGGAAAGAACAGAGCCCCCCTCTTCGGTGTTAAATTAACCACGAATGAATATGAATTGATACATGTGTATTTACAACTTTCTTTTGTAAGCAGCACCAATAATTTCCTGTCCCCTTGAATGTCTGAAGTTCGTAAAATTGGAGACTTGTCAGCAA